AAGCGGCGGACCACGCGGGCAGCGGGACAGCCCAGACGCGCCGTGGCTATCCTGCTGCCCTCGTGCTCCGCGGCTTTGCTCTGCTCTGCTCCCCATCCCCCTGGTCTGCAGATCAGGGGGACGGGGAGCAGAGCAGAGCAGAGAAAAGCGGTGGAACACGCGGCCAGCTGACAGCTCAGACGCGTCTGGGCTGTCCGCTGCCCGCGTGTTCCGCTGCTTTGCTTCCTCTCCCTGGTCTGCTGGAGACCAGGGAGACGGGTCCCGTTCGTAACTGCGGATCCGACATAAGTCGGATCCGCGTAACTCGGGGACTGCCTGTAATAAATCACCGGAGTAAACTGTGTTGGCATAAATCCTGCTTTTTACTGGTGCAACCTATCTTCATTAACCTATTTTACATAAGTGTTCTCTAATGCAGGCACATTACTAAGGAACTGTCTGCTATAAAGGGTTATATAATGCACTGCAATATGTACAGCAATTTTAACCCAGAAGTTAAAATTGCTGCACATACTGCAGGAAACTATGAAGTGCCATGCTGTCTATTGTCTCTCCCAGACCTTATTACACACAGAGGGCGGATACATGCTGCAGAGACAGACACTGAATGCAGTCAGACTATATTACAGCAGTCTTCATACTGTGTGATTATACTGCATAACTAATTTCCTGTTAATGAAATAAACAAGTTATTCCCAGCCATAGATTAATTATACATAAATATATATATTTATTGCAGTTTTAAACAAAGGGAAAGGAAGTTAATAAGCCCAAATAATCTCTGTTCCAGGATTTGTGTAGCAATAATGTTCACAATTTACAACTGCATATTTGATTCTTACCCAAAGTTCTGAGGCAAAGTCAGCATTTCTCCTAGCATTAAAGTTTCTGCTCCCTTTACAGTGGAAGGGTCATCTTTCATGAGTTGATTAAACAGCTCTCCTGTAATAATATAGAATGGTATAGGTTAAAAACATTTGCATAAATAGATCCTTGTCTTCATACAAATGACACAAAATCCCAAATACATGGAAGGCAAAAAATGCAACGCTGCTTTGGGATGTTATTGATATTGTATCTGAACTACAGGTTTTGCTGTTGCCAAAGCTATCATACACATCACATTCTGAACTTAAAACTGCTCAGTGTTTCATAGTAGATGTAAGCAACAATTTTCCTTGTATATGTATTTCAGCAAAGAGATAACCTTTCAATCTTACATATCTTCCTTCCTTAAAGGATGAAAAAGAAACAAAACTGGATTTGTTGAATAGCTATAGATCAGGAACTTATTGGATAATTTGTGCCCCGCTATGTTAGTTTCTCAGCATATATCAGCATATCAGAAATAGCTGACCCATTTATCCCATTTTATTTGCACTCTGATAGCAATTATCTTTGTCTTTTTATCCTGATGCATGTTTTTTGAAGACAAGTTGCCATTGCACTGGACGGAAATAAGGGAAAGGAGAATGTGTTGCTGAGGTGGAAAAGGAAGAAAAATCTTTAGGCTGCAGCTCTTTCTTCATGTTGGCTGGCCTCTAGAATGTAGTCATATGTGGAGAACCGAGCTATTTCAAAGGGAGAACTTTGAAGACTGCGATGGCACCAAGACAAGGGAATTCATCAGGCAGTAAGTCTCACAAAAATAATTCTCAATTGCCCATTAAATTAAGGTGCTGGATAAACTAATGGCTATAATGAGGGAATAATATAGAATGGGATGTCTCCAGATGGGATAGTAACTCCATGCTTCTATTTTCTCTCCAGTGTGCACTTGGTCCTCTGAAACCTTCCCTCCACATACAGCCATCCCAAAACAACAAAAATAGTTTTCATTGGGTGTTATGATTGTCCTAATTGCTCACATTTTAGGGCACAAGTATATAGGTTGTCCACCTAGCTTTCAAAGCCTGGGGATGAAATATGCTAATTTTTCATGGCCACTACAGAAGGAATGTTTAACTCACATAAAACACTGTAGCTTCTGTAACGCAAAGCATACAATATCATGGATAGTCTCTGGAGTAGAAGGCTCAGATGTTCATTTTGGGTTGCTTTAATCCTTTTGTATGCCACAACCAAACTCCCACTTATGTTGATTATTAAATCAGTCTAACATTCCCAGATATTCTTGCCTTTCTAGCGCCATCCAGCTTTTTTCATCTTTGTGTTATATGCGCATTAGGTTGCAACTACTCAGGAGATGAAACTGCTTTTCTGTTTAAAAATGTGTTAGGCAGAACACACTGAACACCTTGGGAATATATAAATAATAATTAATTAATTAGCAAGATATCATTATATACCTGGCAAGTCTCGCTCTTCACAAGTCACTGGAATATTGGTGAATAATGTAGGCTTGGTTAATCTCATCACTGTGAATTCAGAAAAGAAAGGAAACCATGTTACTCAAATTATGTAGTTTCATCTATATCATGGAGCCTGGGATTTATCCTCAAGAGAGATTATTTTCCAAATGCAGAATTGAAAAACACTCCTGAAGAAACACCCACTTCCCATATAATAGGAACCTCTCCCCCCAAAAAACCAAGACACTGGTCATGATTCTGCAAATATTTACACAGGACAGTAATCCCAGAGAGTTCAATGGGAATAGTTGTATAAATAAAATTACACACACAAATGTTTACAAGATTAGGACCACTGTCTGCAAACTGCTTTGAAGATGTAAAATTCAAGACAAATGCTCAATATTTTTCAACACTTAATGCATAAAATTATTTGCTAGAACCAACTTTTGCAGTTGCTCTGCAAATCAGTATTCCTCTCATTTACAATATTTTTGGCTAAGTGTTACCTCCAATATTCAACAAATACAATAGCTCTGTTGAATTTTACACTGTAAGTAGGTAATAGAGTCTCAGGAAAAGTAATTTAAGAATGCATGAGTTCCAAAAATACATTGAATAAAGTCAAGGAATATTCCTTGATTATACAATTTAAAAAGGGAACAATTTACATGGAGCAGATAAAAGCAACATTCAGTTCAGGATCTCTTCAGGTTATAGAAAAAATTAACCAAACAGGTTTTCATTGAAAGTTGAGGGGGTCAGCTAGCATGTGGACAAGAAGATCCAGTTGATATAGCAGAGGTGGACACTAATTTTTGATGCAGGGGCCACTCCAAGAATTTGGTAAATGATCGAGGCCACAATCTTCTATATTAATAGAGGAGATGTGGGGTCTGGGATGGAGGTTAGATGAAGGTTGTGACCTGGGGCACAGGATTGGGATACAGGAGGGGATGCAAGGTCTAGAAGGAGGTATGGGTGCAGGAGAAGTTTCTGGCAAGGAGGTTAGTTGTTGGGAGGGTATACAGAGGGTTTGGATTGTGACTTGGGGCAGGAGTTGGGGTGCAGGAGTAAGTGAGGTACTAGTGCAGGCTCTGGCTGGGAGATGCTTACTTTAAGCAGCTCCTGGCCTGCAGATTAGCAGGAACCTTGGGCAGGCTCTCTGCCTGCTGCATCCCCTGGGGTCAGCCTGGGAGTCTGTGCCACACACCCCTTAGGAATGGGGGGAGGGCTTCATGTGCTGTCTGCTAATGGAAGCTGCAAGGACTTTTCTTGGAGTGGGGGAAAGCGTGTGGGGTACAATGTATGGCACACATGGACATGATCCGAGCAGCCAGCCACTTTGAGTGGCGTGCGGGGACATGGTGGGCAGCTATCATGCTCATGGATTTCACTGGCCACTGGGTACTCCGAGTATCATGGCAGGCTGCATTTGAAGGTTTGGTGGACCAGAGACGGCAAATGGGCTATTTTTTGCTTGCCTCTAGGGTACAGCCTCATCAAAGGCTCTTAAGCAAAGTAAGCTGTTGTGGGATAAGAAGGAAGGTCTTCTCAATTGAGTAGAAACTGGCTAAAAGACAGGAACGTGGTTGGTATAAATGGTTAGTTTTCAAAATGGAAACAGGTAAATAGTGGTGTCCCCCAGGATTCCACTCTGGGACCAATCCTATTCTACATATTCATAAATGGTGCAGAAAAAGGGGGAAAAAGTTAGGTGCTACATTTGTAGATACAAAAACTACTCAAGATAGTTAAGTGCCAGGCAGATCGTGAATAGCTACAACACAATCTCTCAGAATGAGGTGACTAAGCAACAATATGGCAAATGAAATTCAATGTTGATAAACGCAAGTTAATGCACATTAGAAAACATTCCCAACTGTACATCTAAAATTATGAGGTCTAAATTAGCTGTAACCACTCAAGAGAGATATTGCAGTTGTTGTGGATAGTTCTAGGAAAACATCCATTCAATGTGCAGCAGCACTCAACCCCCTCCCCCGCCACCCGATAAAAAACGAAACAGAATGTGGAGCATAATTAAGGAAAGAATAGCTTAGAAGGCAAAAAATGTATTGCCACTATATAAATCTAAGGTATGCGTACATCTGGAATACTGCATGCAGAGGTGGGTGCCCCATTTTTTTAAAAAAAAAGATGTATTTGATTTGAAAAGGTTCAGAAAAGGGCAACAAAAATGAATAGGGGTATGAAAACAACATCTATTTGAGGAGAGGCTAATAAATCTGAGATTTTTCAGCTTGGAAAAGAAATGAGTAAGGGGGGAATATGACAGAAGTCTATAAAATCATGACTGGTGTGGAGAAAGTAAATAAGGAAAAATTATTTACTTGTTCCCCGAGCACAACAACTGGGGGTCCAAATGAAATGAATAGGTAGCAGGTTTAAAACAAAAAAAGGTACTTCTTCACATAATGCACAATCAACCTGTGGAATTCTTTGCCAGAGTATGTTGAGAAGGCCAAGACTATAACAGGGTTGAAAAAAAGAACTAGGTAAGGTAATGAAGGATAGGTCCAATGATGGCTATTAACCTGGATGGGCAGTAATAGCGTAACTAGCCTCTTTTTGCCAGAAGCCGGAAATGAACAACAGGGAATTGATCATTTGATGATTACCTGTTGTGTTTCAGGGGTGGTTGAGATTCTGTGGCCTGCACTGTGCAGGGGGTCAGACTAGATGATCATAATGGTCCCTTCTGACCTTAAAGTCTATGAATCTATGAGAAGACAGGATATTCAGCAAGATGGACCTTTAGTCTGACCAAGTAAGGCTGCTTTTATGTTCTTAAATTCATGGGACATTATCCCTTCAATACTCAATGATATTTTGCCTCCTGGCCTCTTTATGCCACTGTAGCATAAAGCAGTGGTAAATTGCTCCTGAAAAATACCCTAGCTCTTTCAACCTCTAGTATAGAATTACTTTAACAGCTGTATGCTGATACTTCTCACTTCTCACCACATACACAGAACATACCATGGAAAAGATGGGATGAATCTGGAAAGTTAGTGAGCTCTGGCTATTGTCCATTTCCCAAGGAACATTAAGGGCCACAGGAATGAAAAATCAGTCAAAGTAGTTCTAACTCTCAGGGCTACTCTAATTTCACTATTGCTCTCAAACTAGTGAGATTTTAAACACAATATTTGGTATTTTCCTTAAAAAAAAAATGGAGTACCTGAATTATGCAACTATGTGGAAACCTCAGCTTCCATTTTAAAAAGTTTCTACCTCTTATTGTGGCGAAGAGCTGAAAAACATGAATTCTAAAAGCTCAAAAACAAGAAGGCAAATAAAAAGATCCAAAAAGTATTATTTAAAAAGTATTGCATTAATTTTAATATAATCTTATGACATTCAGGGAGCATATGGAAATGCACATGTGGCTTAAAGTCATCTTTACCCTGCCAATATGCAGTTAATTGGCTAACTGAGCAGTTGATATAATTTTTATCAACTATTAGCGGGTAAGGGAAGGTAGCTTGGCTCAGTCCCCGTTTGCACTGGATCCAGGACCTGCCCCATCTGCAGCTTAAATGTAATAGCAGCCAGACTGCCTGCCTGCCCAGTTCTTAGTACATTTAAACTAGGGATGTAATATTACAGTCGATTAACCGATTTATCGATAAGCAAAAGCTTATCAGTTAATACTATCGACTACTCACATTTCTCCTCCTCCCCTGCCAGTATATGTTTTAGCAGACCGGCCAGCAGCCCAACTAATTTCCAGCTTGTGCTGGGTCCAAGAGCTCACCCCCACCCCCCGAGACAAGGGCTGGTTTTTAAGCTGGAAGAGCTGGGTTCGGGCGATCTGCGTATGTGCAGATTGCTGGACAGCGCAGCTGGCGAGCAGGGCTCGCCGCGGTTCAGTGAGCCTTGGCTATTTGTATCACTATTACTAATTTTGTTATCAGGAATGGAAAATTAAGCAATGCAATTCAGCCATACAACCTTTTAAATTAATACAGACCTGAGGTTAACCTATGAAACTCTCAATATAGTTGTACTAAATGTGAAAACCTTCACATCTAAATAGAAAACACTGAGCACTCAGGGAAGAGCATGTGGTACATGTGGAGAATCAGAAATTATACTGCTGAGTTGGACATCTGTTCTGCCAGTGTGGTGGCAAATAGTAATGCCTGGTGATTCATTAATTTGTTTATAGAGGTGAGAGACACCAAAAGAACTGCAATGAGATTACATTAGTCTTACAATGAAGCTTAATATTTAAGTGGAGGCAGGATACAAGTATCAGGCCAAATACAGACATTTTCCATGTAAACTATTATTTTACCAAAAAAATCAAGTACTTGCTCATTTTCAGATTTTTGCTTTAGATAGCAACTTGTGCTTTTATTGAAAATAAGATTAGAAACTGAGTTGTAGACACATCTTTTCCAATTGATTTTGCAATGTAAAATTACTACTTACACTTCTGACATGGGAAACAATAATTGCCCATAGTTAAAAATGATTAATTTTTCCAACAGTTGGGTCTCCTCAGAAATACTCTGTACGTCAATCTGAAGTATTGGCCTTTGGGATATCATGCAACAACCTGGAATCCCCATTCACTATTTTCTCACCTTCCCTCATTGCTACAGGCTACTGTAACAATTCACCTCTAGATAGGATACAGATTCTTCCAAGACAGTTAGCAATAACTGTAAATTTCCTAGCAGAGGTCCCCTGTATATGCCCATGCATTCTTACAGGTTCTCAAGGTACCTGCTCTACAGTTTATAAGAAACCCTTTGAAGAGAAAGGGAATATACTCAACATTCATACTGAAGATGGATCTCTTCTCTCATGTCACTGCAAGCCATGCTGCTTTCCAACCTGCTTTCCAACAGTGTAACCTATCAATATATCCTGTGGGGCAGTTTAAGTCATCAATATGTAAAATTTAACAAGTCAGACAGACTAATTTTACAAGATGCTGATGGTTCAATAACTATTAACCTAGCACTTTTTAAAATAGCTATAATTATAAGCTACTGAAGCTCAAATGTAGGAAGAGATCCAAAAGCAGGGACACCAGAAAAATATAATTTGAAAAAGCATAAAATAATGGAGATGAAAGAACTTACTACGTAATACAAATAACTTTTTCCTAATCTTTATTTTTATTATTATGAATTATTTTATCTAAAATACCAAATAAGTATGAGATGAGAAGGTGTGCATGGAATGTAACTCAATTTACATTTTAAACAAATTGTTCATCCTTATGAGAGTTATTGCTTGAAGTTAATTAACATCTTGGAGCTCTAGGAGAAAAACCAAAATCCATCATCGTGGCACTTCAAAAAAATACGAGTTGAAATCAGGGGAAGAGAAAAAGCAGTCAGTAAGTACAGGAAGGAAGTTCAGATTTCATTTTCTGAACACAGATCTGCAAGAGTCACTCAACAACGGACTTTGACTCTGTGCATGGAGAAGACAATAATTGCCCATAGTTAAAAATGATTAATTTTTCCAACAGTTGGGTCTCCTCAGAAATACTCTGTACGTCAATCTGAAGTATTGGCCTTTGGGATATCATGCAACAACCTGGAATCCCCATTCACTATTTTCTCACCTTCCCTCATTGCTACAGGCTACTGTAACAATTCACCTCTAGATAGGATACAGATTCTTCCAAGACAGTTAGCAATAACTGTAAATTTCCTAGCAGAGGTCCCCTGTATATGCCCATGCATTCTTACAGGTTCTCAAGGTACCTGCTCTACAGTTTATAAGAAACCCTTTGAAGAGAAAGGGAATATACTCAACATTCATACTGAAGATGGATCTCTTCTCTCATGTCACTGCAAGCCATGCTGCTTTCCAACCTGCTTTCCAACAGTGTAACCTATCAATATATCCTGTGGGGCAGTTTAAGTCATCAATATGTAAAATTTAACAAGTCAGACAGACTAATTTTACAAGATGCTGATGGTTCAATAACTATTAACCTAGCACTTTTTAAAATAGCTATAATTATAAGCTACTGAAGCTCAAATGTAGGAAGAGATCCAAAAGCAGGGACACCAGAAAAATATAATTTGAAAAAGCATAAAATAATGGAGATGAAAGAACTTACTACGTAATACAAATAACTTTTTCCTAATCTTTATTTTTATTATTATGAATTATTTTATCTAAAATACCAAATAAGTATGAGATGAGAAGGTGTGCATGGAATGTAACTCAATTTACATTTTAAACAAATTGTTCATCCTTATGAGAGTTATTGCTTGAAGTTAATTAACATCTTGGAGCTCTAGGAGAAAAACCAAAATCCATCATCGTGGCACTTCAAAAAAATACGAGTTGAAATCAGGGGAAGAGAAAAAGCAGTCAGTAAGTACAGGAAGGAAGTTCAGATTTCATTTTCTGAACACAGATCTGCAAGAGTCACTCAACAACGGACTTTGACTCTGTGCATGGAGAAGGAAAAAAGTGTTACACAAAAGCTATTATAATATTCGTAATAACTACAAAATACATTGATATAATTTACGGTCAAGCAGATTTATATATAAACAATTCTAATGTTCATAGAGTTTACTGATATTGAATTCATCAATTGTTTGCAAATATGCAATATATGCAGAAAGACTTTACATCTATTTAAAAAATACCCTAATACTTCAGCCAGTAATATTTTTTCTTTTGATTTTAAAAGTTACAAACTAAATATAATTCCGTACTTATGTACAAACAAGTTCATTCTCCCAGTAAGATTTAATCTTTCTCTAAGAAGATTGCCAACATATTCACTGTATAATATGTCACAGAAAACCCATATCTGGGCCAAGCATCTCTGGATTGTAGCATTGCAAGATGGCAATTCATTGTGTTTGATCATTGTGTTCAGTTTTATCCAAATGTCCTCTAAAGTTTGATTACTACAAATAGATTGCTCAATTGTCCACTTTGCTCTATAAAAAGCATGCAGCTTCAGTCTTTCTAAATTACTTTGCAGTTCTCTAGATAAGGGAAGAATTTTTTCTTTAAGTGCAGGATTAGGGACCGAGATACTCCAAGACCGTCTCAATTTTGGTTTTTCATTTGCTGATTGTATTTCCAGATTGCTTGAATAAATTTGTGCACGCACCATTTGTACCTCGATTAAACTTTGACCAGTTTTCAAATTAGACTGAAACTCCAGAAGGTCTACTGTACAGTCATAATACCGAGACCCAATAAAAGGCTCTGAAGCGTTAACAAGTTGTTTCACTTCTTCTGCTTTCTCATGAGAAATAACAGGTGGCTGTCTTTTAGGCTTGAGGGGAAGTTTGCGTGAGTCATTTGGAAACCAGGGAAGAAATCTTGGAAGTTGCCGAATCGGAAACTCTTTCAGTGTTTCTTCTGCACGTTTCTTCAATTTTGTGAGGTCATTCTGAAATGGTCGATAGTGCAAAACAACTTCCATGTTGGCACTGTAGGAATCCAGTTATTCTTAATAAAAGATTTAGTCTCTTGATTAGGATCCTCAACTCTAAAGTATAATGCATCTTATTTACAAAAATCTTTTCTTGCATGTGGTGCACAGATCAGAAGAAAACAGCACCTAAAGCAGAAGTATTGTAAAAAATAAGATACTACCATATTTAGCCATATATTGCTAGAACATTCTGTAGTAAAACAAAATGCTGTAAAGATAAACTAGCAATATTTGTATGTATGCATCACAATACCACAGTGATTATTTACTGGTGTTCCATCATTGCTACTGTTATTTTAAAACACCAGATACATATATTTCAAACTTTAACAAAATGTACACAAACTTGAATTATCGACTTTTCATGGGAAAAGCCCACACTGCCACCTTCTTCTCCAACACTGTTCTATGCTTTTCACCCCAAACATTTCTATAATCATGAAACTGATGTGAAAAAGCTTTTCCCAGTTGAGCATGCATCAATGGAACCCTCAGATTGTATGCTACTATGTTTACCCACAAATTGCCATGCATCAATGGCACTATGTCCTTAAATATATTTAATCCTGTCCACTAAAAGAAACATGATTTCATTAAAAAAATTAACAGCCAAAATTACCAACACCTTGATGCTAAAATCTATTCTCTCATATTATCAGGCCAAAAAAAGAAGGAAAAAAATATTAATTTTAAATACAAATCCAAAACAGTATCTTTCTTCTACTCCATGCAATAAATTGAGTAACATACTGCAGTTTTCAATTATCCATGGAAAAAATGCTCTGAAATAAGATTGTGTATTTTCATCAATCCTAAGTGAAAAATTAGCCAGGAAAGATGTTCTGGACTCTAAGTATGCCAGACAATATATAATAAAGATTTTCTTATTTCCATTCTATAGTATCACCCCATATCACCCCAGTCTTAATTCCAAGGTTCTGAGCTATACATTGTAGAGAGGTTATTACAAAAACTTTAAATTTCATACTCCTTAATTTCAACAATTCAACATTTCTCTCTCAGATGAAAGTTAAATTGCATTGTAAGTATTAGTAGCGCTGCTTATGCCCATTTCTGGAATAAATTCATATAATCCTTTACTCTCTGCTTTCTTCAAAATTTTCAGTCATTTGTGCGTGTTCTAACAGATAAACAATTAAACTACCAACACTAGATTCTGATTATATAGCTACTGCACTGCAGTGACTGAATTCTGGGAGTTGAAAGGGACACACAGAAAACTCAAAACACAAGCCTAAATTCCTCTTCCCCTTCTAATTGCTAACTTTATGGTATTGATCAAACAGGGATTTCTATTCAGGCCCAGGCATCTACTTCTCTCTCTTATCCTGTCTCCTATGCCCCAAATAAGATTAAAAGAAGAAAAATATTTTTCTCTGAATCAGTTGTTACAGCAGCAGAACTATTGATTTTTGTTATGGAAATGCAGCTTGACATTGTCATTCAGAACCTCAGCAATAAGCTAATATCATTAAAACCAATATATTGTCTTCTGCAGTATTTTAAAAGTGAGCATATTAACATGAGGTGGACTCAGCTAATGCCATATCTTGATTACCACTTACGTAAGCAAAACTTATATTGCTCAGAGATGTGAAAATAACCATCCTCAAGTGCCATAAGTTTTGCCAGCATCCACAGTAGTGTGCACATTGCTACACTGGTAGGAGAGTTTCTCCCACTGACATGGTTATCACCACTTGTTGAGGAGGTGATTTTATGATGTCAATAGGAGAGCTCTCATCAGCATAGAATGGCTGCAGAAAAGCCATGTTACAATGGTGCAGTTGTACCGCTATAGGTTCGCTACTACAGATTTGTCTTAAACTTCCAGTTCTGCAATCGTTTATACCAGGGTGGGAGAAAATACAGACTGGGGCCGGATTCAGGCTACCAAGCCATCAGATCTGGCCCACGGATCACCCCCCAGGGACCCTCAGGCATACGCAGCTTCCGCAGTATAAAACACAGTCCCTGTGGCTCTCTGCTCTGCAGGGAGGGGGAGGCTTCCTGCAATCTCCTCACTCTCAGCGGAATCCTTAGTTCCTTTTGTCCAGAAACAACCAGTCAATAAGCCTATCTCAGCCAATCTGACCTCAGCCAATCTCTCAGCTCCTATTGGCTGTAAACAGCCAGTCAACTGGAGCTGAAAGATTGGCCTGAGAGACTGGAACAGTGGTGGGAGCAGCCTGTATTTTCAAGCGGGCTGGGGCTGCAACAGGCAGAGAGCCCAGCCTGCTTTGGGGGTGCTGCAGCCTGCTGGCCAGGAGACATTTAGCTAAACTCCTCCCAGCCAGTGCCTGCTTCTGGCACCCCACACCTTCTTGCACCCTCAACACCCTCCCCCAGAACACCAAACCCTCTGTACCCTCTCTTACACTTCTCCAGGGTCAAAATCCTCTCCTGCACCCACACCTCCTCCCTGACACTACACCCCAATCCCCTGACCCAGGTCACAACCCTCCTTCACTCAAACACCCTCTCAGACCCTCCCCCCCCACAGTCTCATGTGCCCTTCTGCACCCAGCCTCCAACCTAGACTCTGCACCCCCTCCACAGAAAAGTGCGGTCCTTGGCCAGTTAGCAAAACCTTGAAGTGGGCCCCCACCAAAAATTATTGCCCACCCCTGATTTACACAGATGTATAAATTAAATAAGGTCCTACAAAAGTAAGGGTTAACACCACCAATTTCACAACCACAGGGTTTTAAAATGGATCAATTTCACAAAGATAGGTTTTTTTCCATCTGAAATTTTATGATGTTGTAAAACTTGGCGGTCCTGATCCAAAAAGGAGATGGGGAGAGAAGAGGGGTTCCAAAGCTGTTGTAGGGCAGTCCAGTGTTGCAGGATTTCCATTCTCACTTTGCCTTCAGAGCTCAGCTGCAATGACTCCCAGAGGGGGAAGCAAGTCCTATCTCCCCTGGGCTGCTGGGAGGACTCAAGCAGGGGAAGCTTCTAGTTGTTAGTCAGGGGCCCAAGCCCTGGAACCCCAGACGATTTGATGAAAGTGTCTCCCAGGTCTGGCAGGAACCATGAGGTAGAAGTCCCAAACCCAAGCTTGGGGGAGGGGGGGCGCAAAGAGGGGACTGAAGGCCCAAACTTGTTTGGCCCAGATCCCAGGCAGGAGCCATGTGGGGAGGCAGCATCACTGAGTCTGGGTACCCCAAACCCCATCTGTAGCTATGGGGGGGGGGTGTCAGAAGCCAGGAGCTCAGGCAGGAGCTATGGGGCATGAAAGCTCCAAGTCCTTGCAGGAGCTGGGGGAGGAAGAGGAGAGCCAGACAGGACCACAGGGCAAGAGGCATAGCCCTGAGTCTGTCAGGAGCTGTGAGGGCTGGAGTTGAAGAGGGTGGCAGCCCCCACCCAAGTCCTTGAGCTTAGACAAGAGCTATAGGGGGTAAAAGCTCAAAGTCCCAGCTGGAGCAGCAGGGGGCAGCCCACAGCCTAGGACCTGGGCAGGAGCCAAAAGAGAGGGGGCAGCACTAAGCCTGGCAGGAGCTGTGGAGTCTAGAGTTGCATGGGGTGGCATGCTCCAACAAAGACTCCTAAGCCCCAGCTCAGGGTGGGGGAGGGCGGAAGGAGGGAAAGGAAGCAGAAGCCCCAGAGGTCAAGCACAAAGATCCCAGAAAGAGGCCACAGGGAGGCTGGGGAAGGCCTGAGCTGGGCAAGAGCTGCAGAGGGTGGCAGCCTACTAGACAGGTCTCCTGAGTCTGAGCAGGAGCTACAGCTAGAGCCTGGGTGGCCCCCAGACTAAGGAAGAGCTGAAGCAGAGAGGGGATAACAGCAGCCCAAAGCTGTGCCAGGAGTTGTGGGTGGCGGTGGCGGCAGCAGCAGCCAACCCAGCTTCCCCGAGCACTGTTCCCCAGGCCATCTGCCCTGAGCTCCAGCAAGAGGCAAAAAGGGTGGAAGCCAAGAGCCCATCTTCATTTTTGTGCTGCCTGTGGAAATAAATCTGATCTCCCTCTGTCATGCAGGGGACAGCTAAGTCTTGTCCCTCTGCAACATGGCTGACCTCAAAAAAGTCACATTTCATAGGAAAGAGTTTCACGATTCTTGACATGCATTTCATGGGTAGGGCCCTGCTTATGTACTTGAGTAGTCCCACTGAATTCAACTGTTACAGGATTGTGGACTTCATCTTAAATTACTCATTAGTGCTACTTAACATGAATGTGCAGGTACAATGATAAATGACAATGCCAAAAGCAATATCACCTTTATTCAGAGACAAAAAGGAAGACAGATTATTTAGTGCTCTGCTCTCATTGCTACAGGTTCCAATTCACTACTGACAAAAATTGTCATCACGGCACTATGGAGTTCATCTCCCTTGCATGTTTGACTTGAAGTACATAGAATAGAAAACTCATTAAATCAGTTATGGACTGTGGAGACGAAGAAATAATTAAGTATGCAGTTGTCTGTGGAGCAAAGAAGAGTTAGAAGACAAAAATACATATGGATATCAAATGCTATCGTCTTACGAACATGTAAATATTCTGCTGCACATGCTGAAACTCTTCTGCAAACTGAGGTTATTGCAGAACACAGAGTTTTCATCACCCTAAGTCAAAGTTGTTTACGTGCTCTGTGACTTCCACAAGCTTTCTAGCCTTTCCCTCTCCAATCCATGCAGAACAGTATCACTACAGTAGTCATCCTTTTCCCAACTAGATCTTCTCTCACCCTCACGCCTCTTCACCTGCAAAGCACTGCATAGCTTTCCCACCGCCCATAGCTTTGTGTTTCTTTCAATCTGACTGAGGTGTTTATAGGCTTGACCAATCTCCTATTAATAAAACAACATTCTTCACTTGTATATTTTTCCTTCAAAGAGTTTGAAGTACTTATTCCTGAGTGAAAAATTATGCACCAAACTCCCATACCTTCTGCAAATGCTGTTTGTTAATGAATAAATATGGAGGTTCCATCACGGCAGTGGAAAACACAGGTCACTGGCTGCATGGAGGTGGATGATCATCGTACAGCCCTATGCTCACCCTTATGGACTAGCTGCACCGAAGCCTAAAACAAGGGAAGAGCCAAGCCTGCTCCTAATATATCCCAGGATCCTGTCCCTCTACACCAAGCGCATCAGGTATGGGGAGGCAGGTCCAGATTGGCAAGATCCAAATGTAAAGGGGTTTAGTGTGTGGGTGGAGGGGATCCAGGTGTGGAGTGAGTTCTGTACGGGGCAATGTGGATGCAGGTGGACTAGTGGGGGCTTGAAGTATGGGAGTTCTGGATGCAGGAACAGTGGTTGGTACTCTGCATGAGAGGTCTGGATGTATGTGAATGGTTCTCAAAATGGGTTCTATTGTGTGTGTGTGTGAAGCTTGTTTGGATGGGGGCCCAGGTGCATATGTCTGGGGCTTAGAGAAGTAACAGGCTCAGTGGGGTAGTCCAGGTTAGGGATATAAGCAACTCATCTACTGCCCAATAAGCATATGTTTATTGGGTAGTCAAGTACTGACTCCATTAGTCACTTCCCTCTGTCCCCGACTTGCTGCCACCATGAGAGAGAAGCAGAAGTTGGGGGAAGCAGGAGCCAGTGCTGGGGGAAGACAGCTTAAAAGGGCCAGGAATCAGCTGTCCCGGCTCACACCTTTTTCTCCCATTATGCCTCTGCCTTCTAGAGGTATTTAGAGCCTGGCAACTTTTAATACATTTAGAAGGCAGAGATGCAGCAGGGTTAGCTCCCAGCCAGTTTCCCTCTTATCAACGAATCGAGTAGTCGATGGAAAGTTCATTGACTACTCGACTAGCTGACTACCTGCAATTTAACATCCCTAGTCCAGGCAAAAGTGTATTAGGCTCTCTGTATTAGGCTGCACAGAAGCTGCACAGAAGCTTGGGGGTGGGTGGGGATTTGGCTCTGTATGGGATGGTTCTGTCTGGAGACACTCATTTGTTGAGTCATCTCTCTAACTGAGTTCCCTGAAGTCCGTCCAGTCAGGTTTTCTGGGCCCTGGAGCACAATACATGCTTAAGATTTAACCTCTTCTTGCCTGTGCTGTATCCAGGAGGAGGCTGGATTATGTTAGTAGCCAGCAGCAACCTTAAGGTGTTAGCTGCTTTTTGACAGTGGGCAGGGAGGCAGGGACAAAATAGTGGATGGTGGGGGAAAAGAGAGGAGTTCTGCAAGGATATGCTACTACCCACTGTGTAGTGTGCATGCATGCGTATGCATGTTTTCTCCCTGTGAGCTCTCAAACTTTAAAAAATAAGACAGATGGCCACTCACTTGAAAGTGAGTAATTTTTTCTGTCCTATATTCAGCATAGGGAGATAGGGTCACCCTACACACAACCCACATCGTCTGATTACATAAGTGTTAATCTCTGCCCAAGTCCTACTGAAAACTAGCCTATGATGCAGTTCTTCCCCGTCTGCTACTGCACATTTCTGTGACACCTCCAGCAAGTGCAGCGGTAAGCAGGCAGCCCCCAGGACAACACCTGTGCGGTTGCTCTTTAGTACACGCAGGTCTTCACTCTTCCTCCAAAGGCGCTAGTCCCACCGGCCCGCTTCTCATGCCACCCCGCAGGGCAGCGCCGCCTGAGCAATACAGCCACTGTCAAGGCCAAGGGGGAGGCAGGGGCCCACCCCCAGGAACCCGCGACATACCCCCGGCCCGCTTCCCTGCTCCACCCGGTTCCCTTTCTGCCCCCCCCCCGGCGGAGGGCCTGGGGCTGAGGCCTTCCAGGGACGCGCTTCACCTGCCGGCCCAGCCGGGGAACGGGCCGCCGCGGACGCAAAGGTTTGGGGGAGGGGCGTCGAGCTGCCGTCTCGGTACCTTTCAGAGCCAGCAGATGCTCCTGCTTTGGCTGATTCACATCCATGGTCTCGGGCACCCCACGCGGAGCCTTCGCCGCCCACACCCCGGCCAAGCGCCTGCCAATGGCGACGCGGCTCCGCAACTTGAGCCCAACCGAGCGAGTCCGGGAAAACCCGGAGGTGAGTTTCCCGGCATGCAACGCGCCATTTGGGCCCCAGCAGGAGCGAGAAAGCACTACACCCCCCAGCATGCACTGCTCCCTTTGAGCCTTGGCACGCACAGAGGAGCACGAGGGACTTGCGCACGCCGAGCGGTGATAGGAGGAGTAGTCTTCTAGGGAACCTGGACTAATCGCGTTGCATGCTGGGAGTTTAAGTCTTCTCAAGGTGACTGAGCGGATGTCGGCGTATTATCTCCGAACCTGTAGTTTTCACGAGTTGAGAGCCATTGTATGATGGGAACTGTAGTCTTCCTACGTCTCACGCGGAATGAATGAGACGCATGCGCAGTGACGTTGTCGGCGGCCTCCGGAGAAAACCCCGGCAGGATTATTTTTCATTTCTGCGCGGATGTTTCGCGTAGTGACGTCACAGCGCAAGGCCGGGAGCGTCAGCGCGTGGCCCGTCCTCCTGTCTCTGCTGGCTTATTGGCTTGTTGATGCGGAGGTGGCTCGTTCCGCCTCCCTTTCCCAACATGGCGGCTATGAGTGTAAACAAGGCCGGGCCCGGAGCGACGCTGGATACCGGCCCCCGGCACAGCGGTAGCCGGGGGCCGGCTGGGGCTGCTGTCAAGGTAAGAGGCACCGCGTCCGCGCGGGGGCTGCCCGCCTGGTTCGTGCCACAGCGCTTGTCGGAGCGTAGTGATGCTGCGCCCCTGCCCCGGGAAGGGGGCTGGGTGGTGACCCGCGCGGGGCTCGCAGCCTTTTCCCAACTGCGTCAAACAGCCCCTGTGCAGCCGCCGCCGCCGCCGCCTCTTCTCGTGGCTTCCGCGCGGGCATGGAGAAGCCCGCCAGAGGGAGGACGAATGATTTGCTGCGGCTCCTGGGTCCCGTCGGCTCCCGCGAGTGCAGGCGGCAGCCCGCTGGGAGACGAGTGGGCTCCTAGCGTGGGGGCGGGGGTTGGCCCTACCGACTGCACGGTCCGTTTAAAATCTAGGGTGTCACAGCTTCAGATCTTTAAATCTGAAATTTCATGGTGGTGTAACTATGGGGATCCTGACCCAAAAGCGCGGGACAAAGCTGTTTTAGAAGGGTTGTGGTATTGCCACCTCTATTTCTGCACTGCCTCCACAGCTCGGTGTCTAGAGAGTGGCGGCTGCTGGACACCAAGAACCCAGCTCTGAAGGCAGTGTTGACAGTTGAAGTAGGAGTAGAGTAAGGGTGACAATAACATAGCATGTTACCCTTTTGCGCTGCTGTGCGTAGCCTTGACCAGGAGCGGCCACCCAGCTCTTCAGGTAATGCAGAAATAAGGGTGCCAATGCTGCTATTGTCTTCTGATAGCCAGATTTCATTTACAAGACCATATTTCACAGTCCGCTAGAGAGTCTGGTGAGGAAAGTCAGGGGAGGGAGGCACCATTGGCCACGTGATTCTCCCCACCCCACCCCTGGCTGGAGGACGGCTTACACAATGCCTCTCTGCCTCAGGACCCACCTCTTCCTATCGCGGCTCCACCCCTGTCCCATCTCTTTCCCCAAGACCTTACCTAGGAGTTATGCAGCCTGCAGGACTAGCAGAAGTTTGATGCGGGTAGCAGGGTTCACAACCTCCCTGCACTCACCCACAACAGTGAAGAGAAGTGGAACAAAGCACTCCCCTAATTGCTGGCTGCTGTTGCTCTACTTCCCACCATTGAGTGCAGAGGAGGGTGGTCCTGCCCAAGCCCCAAATGGTTGGTAGCTGGGATGGAGGAGCAATGTTGCTCTGCACCCTTCCACCCTCTCTCACCCAGCCACTGCAGTTGAGTGCAGGGGCCAAACCCCTGCTGTGAGCACCATGCTCCCTAGCTAGTTTCTTGGGTTGTCCAGAATCTCTAGCCCTTTGCTCATCATGCCCATAGTATTAGGGGGATCGTGTGCACCATCGGCCTTCTTTCATGCATTATCTCTGCAGTCCTAGCTGTGAATTTGGTAGGGCCCTAAATAGGGATAAAATACAGGACTATGTAGCACTTTAAAGACTAACAAGATGGTTTATTAGATGATGAGCTTTCGTGGGCCAGACCCACTTCCTCAGATCAAATAGTGGAAGAAAATTGTCACAACCATATATACCAAAGGATACAATTAAAAAAATGAACACATATGAAAAGGACAAATCAAGATGTCTGTGAGTTAATGGTATTAGAGGTGATAATTGGGAAAGCTATCTTCGTAATGGGTGAGATAGCCAGAGTCTTTGTTGAGACTCAAGCGTAGAGTGTCTAATTTTAGCATGAATGACAGTTCAGAGGATTCCCTTTCAAGTGCAGATTTAAAAGGCTTTTGAAGCAGGATGCAAGTGATTAAGTCGTTGAGACAGTGTCCTTTCTGGTTGAAATGGCAAGAAACTGTTTTTTCTTTGTGATCCTGTCTAATATCTGTTTTGTGGGCATTGATCCTTTGGTGAAGTGTCTGAGACGTTTGTCCAACGTACAAAGCAGACGGACACTTTCGGCACATGATAGCATAAAATATATTTCTGGATGTGCAGGAATATGTGTTCTTGATCTTATAACTCACTTGGTTAGGTCCAATGATGGTATCAGCAGAGAGAATATGTGGACAAAGCTGGCACCGAGGTTTGTTGCAAGGGAAGGTACCAGGATTGGTATTAGTGTGGTATGTCCTGTGGTTGTTGGTAAGAATCATCCTGAGGTTAGGTGGTTGTCTATAGGAGACTATGGGTCTGTCTCCCAGAGTCTCTTGAAGTTTAGTGTCCTGTTCCAGTATGGGCTGTAGTTTATTGATTATGTGTTGGACAGATTTAAGTTGGGGGCTGTAGGTGATGACAAGTGATGTTCTATTGTTGGTTTTCTTGGGTCTGTCCTGAAGTAGATGGTTTCTAGGTATTCGTTTGGCTCTTTCAATTTGCTTTTTTATTTCTCCGGGTGGGTAGTTGAGGTTTATAAATGCTTGATAGAGATCCTGAAGTTTCTGGTCTCGTCAGTGGGATTAGAACAGTTGTATCGAAGAACGGTTGTATCGAAGGGCTTGGCTATAGATGATGGATTGTATGGTGTGTGCTGGATGGGAACTGGAAGCATGTAGGTAACTGTATGAGTCGATGAGTTTTCTGTAGAGGGTGGTCTCTAATTTTCCATTGTTAATTTGTACTGTGGTATCCGGGAAATGGATCTCTCGTGTAGAATGGTCCAGGCTGAGGTTGATGGTGGGGTGTAGATTGTTGAAATCTCTGTGGAACGTCTCCAGTGTTTCTTGCCATGCGTCCAGATCATAAAGATGTCATCGATATAGCGTAAGTAGAGAAGGAGTAAAAGGGGACGGGAGTTGAGGAAACGTTGTTCTAGGTCAGCCATAAAGATATTAGCATACTGTGGGGCCATGCGTGTATCCATTGCTGTGCCGCTGATCTGGAGGTATAAGTTGTTCTCAAACTGGAAATAATTGTGGGTGAGAACAAAGTTACATAGGGTCTGGCCCATGAAAGCTCATCATCTAATAAACCATCTTGTTAGTCTTTAAAGTGCTACATAGTCCTATATTTTGTTTCAGCTACAACAGACTAACACGGCTACATCTCTATCACTATTCTAAATAGGGATGTAAGCAATTAGTCGCTTCCCCCCACTTGCTGCTTCTATCAGAGAGAGGCAGCAAGTGGGGTAGCATGAGCCAGTGCTGGGGGGAATTGTCTTAAAAGCTGGTTGTCTCCAGCACTGTCTCCACAGTGGACAAGGAAGGCAGAGGGCAGCGGGGAAATGATACGAGCAGGAGTTGAAACAGTTCCTGTCGTGTGGGCTGGACTGCTGCTCCTCTCCCTTGGAAATGTATAAGAGCTGCCTGGGACTCTTGTGCATTTCAAAGGAAGAGGCGTGGAGGGGAACCTGCGCCAGTGGGCACTACTTTGGTCCCCACTGGCAGAAGTTCCCGCTGCCACTATCTCCTTGAAATGCACAAGAACTGCCCCCGGCTCTTGTACGTTTCAAAGGGAAAAGGCACAGAGGGATAATGAGTGCGCCCCTTATCAAGTAGTCGATGGAAATTCCATCGACTACTCGATTAGCTGATTAATCAAATTTTAGCCCTAGATCTGTGATGATGAGGTCTTGGGATGCAGTGAATTCTGATGGGCCATGCAGTGTCTATCCATCAAAAGTCCTAGTTTAGAGAGGCGGGGTGACTTCTGGTTCCTCACTTGAGGCTCACTGTAAGTGGATTCACACAGTGATGGACAATGCTCACATTTCATTTCGTTTACAGAGAGAAAGGGCTGTGAAAAAGGTATTTAAAAACAAAAGCAAATCATACTAATCCATGAAGGAAGAAATGTCCAACGGGACAGTTGCTGAGGTTAGAAGATTTAAGAGTGCAGCATACAAGTGCTATTAGTGTACTATGGGCCTCTTACCCCTTAATGTGTGATTGCTTCTGATGAGTTCAAAATGTTGTCTTGATTTATAGGTTCTTGAGTGTGGAGTCTGTGAAGATGTATTTTCTTTGCAAGGTGATAAAGTTCCCAGACTGCTTTTGTGTGGTCATACTGTCTGTCATGACTGTCTTACTCGGCTTCCTCTCCATGGCAGAGCAGTTCGTTGTCCTTTTGATAGGCAAGTTACTGAATTAGGTAAGCATGAAAATTCTATGTATATCTGTGTATATATCAAAAAGTAAATGTATTTAATTGGATTACTTACTGTAGACTTTGATTTCTTTTAGTAGGCTAGTAGGCTCTATTTCATGCTAGGCCTGTTTATAACCTACAGCAGCGTTTCCCAAACTATGGGCTGCGGCCCAGTACCGGGCCATGGGGAAAAAAAATACCAGGCCTCATCAGCATGGTTGCCAGGGTGTTCCGGGCTTCCGGACTACCCGTGCAGCGCCGGGTTCCCCAAACCCTCAGCCGGGCTGGGCAGATGCAGCTGTATGTTTCAGGCTCCAGGCAGAGGCATAGTGAGGGTTACCAGGTGAGCTCTTATTGCTGGCTGGGGAGAGGGAAGGGGGAGTTGGATATGGGCTGCAGGGAAGCAGGGTCAGGGCAATGGAGCTGCCCTGGGGAGATAGGGAGGGAAACCGACTGGCGGAAGCAGGGCTGGCTGGGGGGGGTCGGGAGCAGTGAGGCTGTGGGGGGTGGGCGGAGAGGGAAACGCCTGGTGGGGGCAGTGAGGCTGGCTGGGGGGGATCGTGGGGCTGGGTAGGGGAACGGGGCCGGG